ACAGGAACTGCAGTAAAACTGGGTTTATGATAAACTGATTGCTCTAATGATAATAAGAAATATTGTATCTAGGAGTAGTGATCTTTATCCCTGTTCAGCTAAATGTAAACGAACTTTGAAGATGTTAGTGAATTACACAATTCTGAATTCCTGTAACGTGTTTTTGGAAAATTACAAAAGTGTCAGCAAATTATTAATGATGTAGCTGGGTTAAATTTTAAAAAGACATTCATCACACCATCCCGTAATAACACAGAACAAATTTTATTTAAGAGAGTGGCTAGAGGTGACTACATCCAGATGTTAACTACTTGGTCACCAAGACTGCTGTTAATTTAATGTCCAGTAATTTATGGTAATGGTTGATTAAAATGGCAGCGGTAATTATGCAAACTGAGAAAAAAATGAATTAGAATTGACAATAATGTCACTGATAAAAGCTGCACAAGTAATAATGCCAAGTTGGTAAAATAAGCTTACATAAAATTAGAAGTATAAAATAAACCGCTTTTCTTTATTTTTTCCCGTCTGGAGATAACTCACTCATTTATTTTCTGTGCAATGGTTTCCCCACCTTGCATTTTTATCGGTGCTATATTTTTCCGGATTCCACTAAACTGTGTATTTTGAAGAGAAGTTTAAACAAATACACAAAAAAATTAGATATCGTACTAAAACTTCCACTAGAGGGCGAGTTTCCAAACCAAAAGAAGCAGTTTTACATGATAATGAACCTCAAATACCTCAGTCGTGCCTAAAGAATATCGCTTTTGTCCAGATTTTTCTAATAAACTCTTCAGAAACAAATACTTTATATTTGTAATGGACAGTTATCTAGTTTAATTTATACAGTGCTATTCGGGTTGGTATAAGTGCATTAAATTTACTGGCGACCTGTAACAAATATAATGATTTATTGGGGTATTTGTTGCTGTAAAGTACCCCCAAGTAGCACAGCGGTATTTCGACGGAATTACAACGCTAGAAACCGGGTTTCGATACCCGTGGTGGGCAGAGCACAGATAGCTCATTGTGTAGCTTTGTGCTTAACTTCAAACAAACAATTCTGTAAAGCGTGCATTTTTATTTTATTTTTTTTTGTCTGGTTGGAAGACATTTTAAATATATTGTTTACTGAAATGTTTTGTTTACCGACATATTTAATGGCTGTCGCACTTTCAAAGCTCAATTTTGCTTTAGATAACACTGCTCAAAATTGGTTGTGTCGGTAGTGGATTGTCTGGCATATATAGCTTGTTTACCATTTTGTGATAAATATTATATGATAACATTTGTGAAAATGTTTTCAAAAGTTGTAAGTCATGTTCCATGTTCAACTTATTGGGTGATAAAGTATAGCGTAAATCCTTAGCCAAAAGTTTTTCGTTCCAAGTTTTGTTAAGTTATAACTAGATACATTATTCATAGTAATATCGGTTTCATCTGGAAAACTTCTGCTATGCTGAGTAATTCTTAATTGTTGTAGTTAATATTGTTATTTATGTATTGTTGTTTAGCATATCCATATTGAGATAAATATTATCAAATGGAACTTAGCTAACTACTACCGATATTGGCTGTGTAACTATCGTGCCGAGCTGCAGATCCAAGGTTCGAGCCGCAATATATCTCTGAATACGTTCCTCAATAGCAGTAAATTCCGTTATTTGGTAAAAAAGTAGCCGTGTAGACGGCGGGTACTGCTGATTAGTTGCTCTTCCTGTGGTTGAAAATACAAAATGCTGAGAAACCGTGCCTTAATACATCATACCTCTATTTGAGACACTTTAATTTCTTATACCTGTCCCTGGCTTCTAAAACCAAACAATACTTCAAAATGTTAAAAATATATAACGAAAGTTTTAAATTGTACAAGCAAAGGTGCGACGTTATAGCTGCTACAGTTGTTTACAAAATAAAGAGAGATAATAATAATCCTTTATTTTAACAGGTGAAAATACAGCATTTACATTTCGCGGGTGTGATTAAACTTTATATTTTCAAGCGTGTGTTTATATATATATATACATTAGTAATTTACAAAACACACAAACTTATATAGTAATAGAGAACCAACAGATCTGTAAAATTAAGATAAAACATATTTAAAACTACATTCTTTTCCAGCAAAACACCAGTACAACGGTAACATTCTAAACTAAATAAATTATTTAGTTAAATTCCCTCCGCTCTCTCGGTTTGTTAGGGCGATCGACTGGCAATCTGAGTATCGTGGGTTTGAATCCTCGTCACCGAACAAGCTCACCCTTTCAGCCTTGGGGGTGTTATAATGCGACGGTCAATCCCACTATTTGTTGGTAAAAGAGTAGCCCAAGAGTTGGCGGTAAGTGATGTTGACCTTCATTCTAGTCTTTCACTGCTAGATTAGGAACGACTGACTAACGCAGATAGCCCTCGTGTAGCTTTGCGCGAAATTCAAATCAAACCAAACCAATCAAATACCTTCTATCAACAATATAGGAGCTCATTAAACTAAATAGAAACACCTCAAAGAATATTATGAGGTGTTATGTACATGAGATAAACAACTGTCTTCATGTGAAATTCTAGTTGATTTAAAATGTTGAACTGTTGCCATGACCAAGAACGAAAGTATTCAAGTATCAATGGTGCCGTAGCTACAGATGAACTAAGATTTGCTCATAATGTGAATTTGAGTAGCAGTAAAAGATATTATCATCTTGGCTGGGGAGGTCTATTACGCATCTAACTTTCCAATAACTTTCTGAAAGAGTTCCAGTTCATGGTCCCTAACAAAGTTTTTAAAAGGCGAGTCAAATGATGCTTGTGTATTCAACTTACACTAACATATACATGCAATAATTTCAAACATCTTTATTTATACCAGCGTATAATGCAACTTGTTTAAGACACATTAACTAAAATACAGCATCTAATCTCTGTAGAGCTTGGCACTTGTTATCTGAAGATGGCAACACTCCTATTAATCAGAAGATAGTAACCCTCCCATAACTTTTCTTTTTACCCCAAGAAGATGATGCCATATTATTTCTCTTTTTTTATCTCAAGATGGCGACAGTACCATAGTCTTTTTTTTATCCGAAGATGGCGACAGTACCATAACCTTTTTTTTTTATCTGAAGATGGTGACACTCTCAGACTCTTTATTTTTATCAGAATGTACTGACACTTCCATAATCTGTAGTTTTATCAGAATGTAGTAACACTTCCATAATATTTATATTTGTCCGAATGTAGTAACACTTCCATAATATGTAGTTTTGCCAGAATGTAGTAACTTCCATAATCTGTAGTTTTATCAGAATGTAGTAACACTTCCATAATCTGTAATGACATTTCTATAATCTTTATTTTTATTAGAATGTAGTAACATTTCCATAATATGTATTTTTTATCAGAAGATGGTTTACATTTCCATAATATTTATTTTTAATCTAAAGATGGTGACGCTCCCATGGACAGGAAGGATTGCTCTGTCTGGAAGTAAGAATGATGAATACTGTAAAGGAAGTTAATTGTTCACACAGGACGTATCGAAAGCTATAAACAAAATAATATTATCCATTTAAAACTTTTAATATAAACTGCTCAAACCAGATTTTACAAATTTCACTAACTCTGCGGAAATTAACAGGAAATTCTTTAACATCGTATGAAGGGAAAAGTTAAAATGATCCTTATTGATTATACTTAAAACTACATGCTTTATTGATTGCTAGAACATTTTTCTACAGATCAACTTGTAATTTGCATGTAAAAAACGTAATCATAAACACTTTAAGCCTGTATTTATACCAAAGTGGTGAAACTTCGTAGTGTTATCTAAACCAGGTTTTTAATTAATAGGACTATTTCACATACATTTAAAGTGACACCCCTTTTAAAAGAAATACTATTATTAATGTGTAATTTTACATTATAATTAATTGTAGTAATTTTGCTATCGATAATGCCTTTATTAATGGGTAATATTTCACAATTATTAATTACAAAAATTATGTTATTGACAATGCTTTTATTAATTGGGTAGCTTCTCACATTTATTGCCCCCCATCCACCAGTGGCATAGCGGTATGTCTACGGATTCACAACGCTAGAAACCGGGTTTCGATACCCGTGGTGGGCAGAGCACAGATATCCCATTGTGTAGCTTTGTGCTTAACTTCGAACAAACAAACACATTTATCAACTGCCACATATTGCTGTCAACAGACTTTTGTTAATAGGGTGATGGACAATCAAAAACTATAAAAATATAATTATTAACAGTGAATTTAGCAAAAAGATCATTTCATACAACGGTTAACTACAAAAACTTCTTACAATTAAACTTTTGTTCAGCATAATTGTTAAAAATCCAACATTAGTTACAACAATCTTGTTATCAATAATATATGATAAATGGTGTGATAACACAATTATCATCGTATTCTTGTGTTTGTTTTACATTTATCTGTGTAACTTTTTGACATTATTGTCAAAGCATATCAGGGCATTATCAAACTTGTTGACTGGAGAGACGACATTTTGTTACGTTAAAGAGACAATGTGTTCGGTTTAACTTAATTGATAGTTATTCTTTACAAATAAGCTTGTTTGTTCAATAGCATGCACATCAGATATTAACATGCAATGTTTTGAAAAGTATTCTTGTGTTTGTTTTACATTTATCTGTGTAACTTTTTGATATTACTGTCAAAGCATATAAGGGCATTATAAAACTTGTTGACTGGAGAGACGACATTTTGTTACGTTAAAGAGACAATGTGTTCGGTTTAACTTAATTGATAGTTATTCTTTACAAATAAGCTTGTTTGTTCAACAGCGTGCACATCAGATATTAACATGCAAAGTTTTTAAAAGTATCACATGTAGGTGGGTACGATACACAAGAAATGAGATTTTCTTTACTTCCATCGTATAAGATTAATGTATAAAATCATTCCGCCAGGTGAACAGTTCTTGGACACTTTATAACTGTATTACGAACAGTCGCGTCATTTTTAGCTCACACATACTTGGCGCAGAAAACTCTGTAGTTGGCTAGGCTTACACCTCCTAGTTGTGGCCATCAATCGATAGTTGTTGACGGTATTTGCCTGAACTGAGACCGCACGAGAAACATCCGCGTGTCAGGAAGCTTGTGCATCGAGTCGTTCGTCTATGGTTATCCCAGTTTTATAATCTGTTTTTTCTTATTATTATTAAATTTTTGTGTCGTCCGTCATCAACGATGTTTAAGCAAGTTTTCTGGTTTGTTGTTCTTTCCTTAACGTGGTCCTACGGCTGTCTCTACTACATCAACGTCACTGAGGGACTGGCGATGAATGGCGATGCTGATAACGGCTCGGACCCTGTTCTCATACCGGTCTTCGACATACACGATCCTGACTTGAATATAAGTTCCCCTTTGGTAGAACCGGTGAACAACACGTCAGTGATGTCTGATTTATACAGTCAAGCAGTTGACCAAGTGACCACTTCAATCTACCCAGAAGAAAGTCTGATTTCCGAATGCCAGGTGTCTACCAAAAACGAGTTGACTGTTATCAAGAGCCCGTCGTTCCCTAACAACTATCGTTCTAATATGGACTGCCAGTATACAGTCTTCAGGAACTCCTCAAGGTGGTGTTCTGTGACTTTCTTATTCAACGTGTTAGACTTGGAAGTCAGCGTGGGATGCAGTAAAGACTACATTGACTTGGTCGGAGAAAAGCTGTGTGGGTATAACCCCTCAGGAGTCACACGTAAGTCACAGATAACCTCAAAAGGTCTGGCACAAGTAACGTTAACCCTCAATGTTTCCGAAAAGTTTTAGCTTTTGTAAGTGTTACGCAACTCGTTTCGATAATTAATCCAGTATTTACTAACATCAGTCCTAATTAGGATGTTTGAGCTTAATCAAAGGGGGTCGAGTGTGGCCCAATGGTTAGCACACTGGACTGTGGATCTGAGGTTCACATCCCGTTACCACCAATAAAAAATCGCTTGAGCTGTGGGCATGCTGTAGAGGGTAACGCTCAGACAAGAGAGGTCAAAGAATTGGCGTTGACTAGCTTCTTTCTCTCTAAACTATCACTTAAGGGCGGCTAATTTTGCTTTGCGCAAAATTCGTCTCATAAACTTAACTAATCATACCAGTTATAGTACAAAAAATTAGCAGTGATCTTTTACTAATGTAGTTTATCATAAAAAATCAACGCGAAATTACTCAATTCAAATGTTATATATTTTAGACACCAACTCGAACTTCTAAAGCTCCCCAGTGGCACAGCGGTATGTCTGCGAACTTACAAAGCTAGAAACCGGGTTTCGATACCCGTGATGGGCTGAGCAAAGATGGCCCATCGTGTAGCTTTGTGCATAAATTCAAACAAACGAACTTCTAAAAGTCAGTGTTTTGCATTCATTTAAGCTCAAAGTAACAACAGTACTGCAAAAGAAATCTTTCTACCGCTACAACCATAGCATGATCCTTATATTTCTACCGCTACAACCATAGCATGATCCTTATATTTCTACCGCTACAACCATAGCACGATCCTTATATTTCTACCGCTACAACCACAGTATAATTCTCATCTTTCTAGCACAACAGCCACGGCATGATCCTCACTTTTCCTTACTATAAAAACCTTAAATTCCTTAACTTTCCAACATTACAAAATAACTTATGTTTTTTACCTCTCTAGCACTACACACGTTTTATATTCCTTACATTTCAAACACTGAACGACACATTATCTTTCCTTTTTAAATTCAAACGTAGAACATTATTTTCTGTGTAACTTACACTGTAATACTGCAGGAAAAGCAGAGTAAGAGTAAGTGATTTATTTTATTTTTATGTGGTACATTATGTGGCTTTATGGCAGCACCGAATGACTTATATTATTTTGTTAACCTACATATGAGGTTAAAGTATTGTTATTTAAACATATTTTAGTGTTTTTTGCCCAGTGTTTCAGAGGTAAGATTAAGAGCTCATAATTCTAAGCATGAGGGTTCGATCCCTGCGAAGCAAACAAAACACCTAGTCAACTGTAAAGATTTGTGATTAATAAACAAATGAATAAACAAATAAACAGTATTTTATAAAGCCACAATTAAACTTCACACAATATAAACAGTAGATAAATACATTACACTAATAGGACAACAAAGTATTAATAAGAATGAAGCAGGTATTATTAATTATTCGGTGTGATTCTGCAGACTGACAATGTATTTCTTCAGCTTGACGTGATGTCACAAACTGTGGAATGTTTCAATTGCGATTCTTTTCTTGAGAAGATCACTTTAAAACTAGGAAACTTTGTGAAATAGGAGGAAAATATTGAAGTATTAAAGATGTTCTCTTTTTGTTATTTTCTTTTATTCCTCAGAAATATAACCAACCTCAACAATCTTACGTGTAAAATTTTCGAGACATATCATAAATGCCCTAGTGCACGTTAATAGATTCATGATGAGTTTTAGAATAATCTACAAAATCCAACTCCGAGTGTTTGCCGAAACAAACATCTGCTGAAATAAACAAACTAATTTACCTTAATGATTAACTTAAGTTAATTAATGAATACATGTTTGCTTTATCTAGTAATGCACCTGATACACGCTATGGCAGTTGGCTTTTCATTGCATTTACTGGCCTTTTTTTTCATATAGCATAAAAGGAGGGATTCTGTTACTCTTTTCTCCGCTGGTTTTGGTTTAAACATTCATGTGAGCTTATAATAGATGTTAACTCTCAAGGTATGATGGATTAGATACAACTCTGTTCAAGGGAAAACTTTAGAAAAATAAGTTCACTCAAATCTGCGCTATATTAATAATGAAACTACCCTAAGCCAAGTATAAAAAGATACTAATATCCACGATGATATGCTCTAATTTCTTGGGCTAAATATCAGTGCCCAAATATCGCAAACCATTTTGAAAAAAACACCAGTTAAATACCAACGATTGTGCGTTCATGTTCAGTAAAATACGATCAAATGTTTAAAATACAATTGAATGTCCAGTGATTGGTCAGTAAAACATCATCAAATGTCTACTTCAGTAATAGTAAAACTTTACCGAAGCTATTTCTAGTGTAGAATAAACCAAGTGTAGACTATTCTGATTTGTAGTGAAACCACCACAGAACGGATTTTTGGTGTTAATACAAAAACAGCTAAACTTTTAGTATTAGAAGTAAAATCCACCAGGCTGATTTTGATGTTAATTCTAGTATATACAACAATATATATAAACCTTCAGTAGTACAGGTAAAATCCACCAGGCTGCTTTTGGTGTTAATTTTACTATATACGACAATATATATAAACCTTCAATATTACAGGTAAAGCCCACCAGACTGTATTGAAGTTAATTTTAGCATATACAAAAACATATCAATCTTCAGGTATTACAGTTACAATCCACTAGGCTGCTTTTGTGTTAATCATAGTGTATAAAAAACATATAACACTTTTAGTATTACAGTTAAAATCCACTAGACTGCATTAGTGTTAATCATAGTGTATACAAAAAACATATAAAACTTCAGGTATTACGGTTAAAATCCATAAAACGTTTGTTTTTAGTCTTGATTCTTATAGAAAGTAAAAGTATCTAAGCAAAATTTACTAATACTAATCCTCGCAAAGATGAAAACCAAAACTTAAATTATCAAGAATAACAATAAAACGTTAACCTCAAATATATGAAAACCAGGTATAAGACAAATATTTCTGGAAATATCTACAATTTTAAAAATAACAAACCTAATCACATCATTTATTTGTAGTTATTTTTTGGGTAGTCAAACACAAATCTACAGTATCAGTTTTTAGGATGACCCGACTCTTGTTATCTTGTGAGTTAAGGTTTCCTACAAAATCACAGGTAAAAAGGGATTATAAATGTTGACGGAAAGTTTATCGTTTGCACCATGTAATATAGATAAACCACAAAGATAAGATAAAGTGATCATTAATGTTGACGTAAAGTTTATCGTTTGAATCATGTAAGTTACGTAAACCACCAACGTAAGGACTCTTTTTGTCCTTAAAGCGAAGTATTCTGTAATAATGATAAAGTTTAGAAACATGGGAGATGTTATAAAGAATATTTAAACTTAGAACTAAGTGACTCACTATTAGAATGTGTAAGTTAACATGAACCAACATAGTATTGATACATCATATGTATGTTAACATGAACCAACACAGTATTGATACATCATATGTATTTTAAGATAACCAACACAGTATTGATATATCATACGTATGTTAACGTGAACCAATACGGTATCGATATATCATACGTGTGTTAACATGAACCAACACGGTATTGTTATATCATGCGTGTGTTAACATGAACCAACACGGTATTGTTATATCATACGTGTGTTAACGTGAACCAACACAGTATTGATATATCATACGTGTGTTAACGTGAACCAACACGGTATTGATATATCATACGTGTGTTAACATGAACAAACACAGTGTTGATACATCATATGTATGTTAACACTCGAGGTTGGCCACGATGTGTTAACATAAACAAACACGGTATTGATACATTATATGTATGTTCACACTCGAGGTTGGCCACGATGTGTTAACATAAAAAAACACGGTATTGATACATTATATGTATGTTAACACTCGAGGCTGGCCACGACGTTTTGAGAAACCCCACTATTCTTTGCTGTCAGTTTCCTGGAATTTTTTTCCCGAGTTCAGAGAAATGTCAAAGTTGAATACTGAATACTTTCATCCATAATTTTTATAAAATGCTTCTGGCTTTTTGGTAAATTCTATAAAGTCGATATAAAAATCCGTATTATATATTTTCTATAAAAATACCTTTTAGTTTAAATCTTTCTACTGTATAAAGGTTATACTTCCTAGTTTAGATTTTTATAGATTAAAAAAAGACATTCGCAACATAGCTCTTTTTTTTTTTTGCAAGTTTCGTTTTACTCTTAAAATGAGGAAGAACCTCAACGAATGTATTCTGTGGTTTAACACAAACGCCAATATGTCAACATCTTCAGTCCAAAACAGTACACTTTTGGTTATTGTGTATGGTTTTCAAATTCCACACCAGAATACTTTACTTTCAATAAGATGAAACTTTTTGTCCTCGAACTCAAGCTGTAACCAGTAGTATCAATACATTTGAAAGACACTCCGGAGTATAACACATCAGTGTTATCACAGTAGTAACGCTTCTGAGAAGTATTACATCCTCACCCACTTTATTAATCCTAGAACAATGATTTCTGAAACCTTTAAAAACAGCAAACCCTTCCTTTCACAAATATGATGAAGTCCGTTTTGTAAGCCATTCAAACATCATAGGTACAAAACTACTGAATGTGTCAGTGCGTGTACTCTTACAAAACTACTGAATGTGTCGGTGTGTGTACTCTTACAAACTACTGAATGTGTCGGTGCGTGTACTCTTACAAAACTACTGAATGTGTCGGTGTGTGTACTCTTACAAACTACTGAATGTGTCGGTGCGTGTACTCTTACAAACTACTGAATGTGTCGGTGCGTGTACTCTTACAAAACTACTGAATGTGTCGGTACGTGTACTCTTACAAAACTACTGAATGTGTCGGTGCGTGTACTCTTACAAAACTACTGAATGTGTCGGTGCGTGTACTCTTACAAAACTACTGAATGTGTCGGTGCGTGTACTCTTACAAAACTACTGAATGTGTAGGTGCGTGTACTCTTACAAAACT